ATCCAAATTCAATAATAACCCAAGTAGATTTGTTGATGGAGGTGTGAAGAATCATGTACTGGGTCAAGTAAGAAAAGGAAACGTAAAGCTGATGTTTATTATACCGTTCATAATGATAAAAATGAAGTTGTTGGTTCTGGGTCAATCAAGCATCATAATGTATGTGTATAATCATTGTTCATGTATATGTTTAAGTTTTATATTATATGTTTTGTTTTTGTGTTGAATCGTGTCTTATACAATTTTAATTGTATAAATGTATAATCTATATTAGTATATGTTTTTGTGTTTCTGTTAATTCATGCCTTATATAATACTGTTTGTATAAAATGTATAATAAATTCTTGTATCTGTTTATGTGCTTATACAATTGTAGTTGTATAAATGTATAATCTATATTAGTATATGTTTTTGTGTTTTTGTTAACTCATGCCTTATATAATATTGTTTGTATAAAATGTATAATAAATTCTTGTATCTGTTTATGTGCTTATACAATTGTAGTTGTATAAATGTATAATCTATATTAGTATATGTTTTTGTGTTTCTCTTAATTCATGCCTTATACAATACTATTTGTATAAATGTATAATAAACTCTTGTATCTGTTTATGTGCTTATACAATTGTTCTTGTATAAATGTATAATATCTTAATATCTGCTTTATATTCATATCTTATACTGCCTAATTTACTGTCTCATTATACAATTGTGTGTATAAGTGTATAATTTATCTACTTCAATAGCTTGATCAATTTTTTGAATTGTCTATAATGAAGCTATTACGAGTGAAGGAGAAAAAGAGAGAATGAAACTAAAACTGAGTTCGCTTGAATTATGGGATCTTTTCCTTATTTATTTGCCGTCTATTTTTTTTAAAAAAAATAAATTGTATAAAAGGAAGATATTTGTTAACTATTATACACAAAAAGTCACCCGTAGCAAACTTTTAATTTGCTACGGAACGCAATTTTGAATAGTTTGCTATAACCTATAATTGTCAATTTTTTCTTTGCTATATATAAAATTTGCCCTATATAAATTAGCATGAATGGAATGGGTCAGTCCATATTGACAGCTCTACTCAGAATCTAAGAAAATTTAAACAAAAGTGAAAATTCCAACATATTTAATAAATTAACAAAATAATATAAGAGGAATAAATGTATAGAAATAGTACTATGTATTTTGGGATAGGCTTAATAGTTCCACATAAATAAAAATGTGAAATTACTTTACATGAATTTAATTATTATCTTTTTCCTAATTAAAAAAAAACAATTTAGGGAGGTAAAAGAAGACTTGCAGCAGAAACAACAATGCTACTAATTTTCCCAAAATTATAATTTTCCTTAGCAATTATAATATCATACCCAAAATATAATTGATGACTGTCTGAGTTAAATCGTGAAGATTTTGATTAGAACAATTATTTAACATTGTAAAACAAAAAGTCAAGCCTCTGCATTTGACGCATACATCAAATAAAGAGTTACTGTGCTTTAAATAGCGAGAAAAGTAAACACATAATTAGTGATGCACATAAAGAAAAAAAAGAAGATGATGCCATTTCCCCCCTTTTGATCGTTGGTTTTTACATGTATATATATTTATAACTCTCTAATAAGTTTAATTTTTATATACCAACAATGTAATAAAAAATTGGGAAAAGAGTCTGATATACTCCTTAACTTTGTCATTTGGGAGCTGATATACCCCTCGTTATAAAAGTGGCTCATATATGCCCTTACCGTTATACAAACGGCTCACATATACCCCTACCGTTACAAAATGACTCACATATACCCTTCATTTAATAGAAATTAAAAACTTAGTTTTAAATTTATATTTGTTACTTCTAATTTTTTAAAAAAAATTATTTAGGGGTATATATGATTCTTCTATCAAAGTTCAGTTATATTTTAATTTTTTTCATATATAAATTATTTTTTGCCTTCTTTTATTATAATTATTTGAGTTTCTTATTCTTATTTTGTTTTTTTTCTTTCATTCATTAGTTTTAAAAAAAAATTAAAACTATTTTTTGTGTGTGTATTGTGATTTAGTTTCGTATTCGAAGAAAAAATTTGGTCATCTACAATAAGTTTTACAAGAATATTAGTAAAACATAAATAAATTTGATTATCAAAATAATAATTATAAATTAGTCATTGAATAAAAAAAAGTCAAAAAAAATATGTTTGACGAGGATTAAATTTATTCATATGGGATTATACTTTTTAGAAAAAAAATTATAAAAATTTAGATTAAAATTATTATTTTTTCATTTCCGTTAGAGGAAAAGGGTATATCTGAGCCATTTGTTTACAAGTAGTGATATATATGAGCTACTTTTATAACGAGGGGTATATCAGCTCTAAATGACAAAGTTGAGGGGTATATTAGATCCTTTTCCCTAAAAAATTTAAACAATCTAGTAATTTAGAAAGCATTTACAAATAATTTTTCATAACTAATAAATTAATAGCACGATAGATATGGATACCACGTACAATAATAGGTACGATGATGATCCCTATATATATATATATATATATATATAAAATCTCTTTGTCCATTTTTTTAATTAGTTATCCATTCTAACAAATCAAAAAAGTCAAAAAAAAATATTTTACCTATTGTATCTTTGATTAATTACTTTAAAAAATAAATTTTTTAAAATCGTAATTAATAGGGATAAAATATTAAATTCATTGTAACAATTATTATTTTTATGTTAATTTAAAAGTGAATCAGTAATTATAAAATAACAGTTACTACTTTTTAATGGGAGGATAATCAATGTAAAGGAGTAAATATCAAAATACATTGCTTGCATTAATGAGGAAAACTTTTTTCTTTATTTCAATTAATATATTAATGAAAAATTTATATTCTTTTCAGAGTTAAATTTCAAAAAATATATTTAACTAATTTTGAAAATAATAAAAATATATTCCACCTTTCTTCACTCCTAATTAATCAAATAAAGTCAAATACTATTTCAATTTTCAAAGACAAAACAAACAAAAGTCTAACAAGTTATTATTTGACTGCAATCACTTTATATGACGTTAAATTTAAATATTTAAAACTCTAATAAAATATTATCTACGTAGTTTTTAAATATATAATTTTTTTTTAAAAAAAATATTTTATTTTTAAATTTACCTTTAAAATTCAACTCTCAAAATTTTAAAAATGTCATATAATTCAGAAAGGAAATATCACTAAAGTAATACCAATATTATTGATTTTGATATTACATAACTTATTTATGAATCAAATTAAAAAGAGATCTGCAGCAACAGCAATAATTTCACTAAATTTCTGAATATCATCATTCTCCTTAGTAATAGTAGAAACATAACCAGGCATCATTTCAAATGCTTTTTCACAATTAAAAGCATTTTCTCCAACAATATTTGTTGCTGTTTTTAAGTTATCATATTGGCCCATTTGCAAATATTGCTGTGCGTTACCCAAAGAACTAATGGCCCACTTATAATAAGTTGCGCACAAAGTATATATCGCTTCTAGATTTGGATCACTCGTCTGTTTTTGAAGCACGTTGATTTTCACGTTGGTGGCGGAGGCATTTGTTGTTGCTAAATTGATGGTTGATTGTGTTAAATCGTGAAGATTCTGCCGAGAATAGTCCTTCAAGACGGAGTAACAAAAGTCTACATTTTTGGATTTGGTGCACACATCGTTTAGAGGGTTACTTGTACTTTGGATCGCGAAAATAGCAAATATGATGCTTAAAATTAGTGACGAACATAGAGAAAAAGAATATGATGTCATTTTCCCCTCTTTTGATTGTTCGTTTTTATAGGCATATAATTCTTGAGTTTAACTTTTATATACGACAGAAGGGGAGAGAGTAATAAATGTTTATCAATCTAGTCATTTTTAAAAATGTAAATAACTGTCTATATTTAGTAAAATTGTAATATGATATATAAGGAATATAATATGTTATAGTAGGTACAAAAAAGATTGCTTGCATCAACTTAGAAAACGTTTTGTATTTATATATTTTAATTCCATTGTTGACTTGGCAAATAAGAGTAAAACCATTTTACTTTTTAATAATTTTTTTTATTTGAAAAATAATATTTCCTTGACCATTTGAATGAGATATAAACCCTGTTGAGTGTTGATTGAATTGAGATAATAATATCAATTGTCCAAATAAATTGAATTGTTGCACATATTTAGAAAAGATTTTAAAAAATGATCTTCAATTAATATGAACTTAACACGTACTCTTTTAAATAATTATATTTGTAAGATGACATTAAATAAAAAAAGTAAATTCTATACACTCTTTTGGATCGGCAAAGCTAGTCATATGCCAAATTTATTTTAGTATAATAATTATGTAGAGAGCTTAGAAATCAAAAATTAAATTATGAGAGATGTCACATTTAATTTTTTACCTCAAATTAATAAGAAAAAAGCTCAAAATAGTTCTTAGAACTTTTATCTAAATTTTAACATTGATTTATTCGCAATTTATATATGGAATATTCAATAATCTTTTTATATATTTAGTAGAAATAGCAAATACTAGAGAAGATGAGAAGAAGAACACCTTATTTTATTTAGCAAAAATATCATTACAGCTAATAGTACGTTTTTTTTCTTTTCTTGCAATATCATATGTCAAGATCTTCTTAATTCAACTTGAACAATATTTCTACTAAACAAACTATACGTTTCAATTATCACACTCTTTTGTTGCTATCTTTTTCTTGCAGACTCTACGCAACTTTCCTTATTAGTTGATATGTTGTTTTCATTGTTTAATTTATCTTTTTACTCGGATTAGTTATATTTGTACAGAAAGTCTTTTCAGTCTCTTTCTCCACGAGATAAGGGTAAAGACTGTACTCAGTATATGCTCCACCCCCATAGACTTTTAAGGGTATGTTGTTTTTGTATGCTTACATTTTCTAAAGTGAGAAACAGCCAACATTTATAAACCAGCACCAATGTTAAGATAAAGAAATACATTAACTTGTGAGAATTTACAACTATTCATCAAAAGAGAAAAAAAAAATCAATAGTACATCCAACTTGGTGTGAGAGTCAGCTCACTTTGTGTACACACTTTCAAACTCAATAACATCCAAATTTTGAATCCGCCTCTATGTACACTCCCCCGTCCTGTTGGTGGAAGGTTAAAATGCGATAGGTAGCATGCCCTTCAGTTTCCTCCTTTCCCTTCCTCGTATGTCGTATGGCAAAAAAGAAAAGTATAACAAACAAATCGATCTAAGAGTGCATCAGTAAAGAGAATTGTAAGTACGGCATGTTGCAAAAATGGACGCGATGCATATCAGAAGTGAAGGGAGAAGAGTAACGTTCAAGAGCTTGCTCTGCCCTAGATATCCAGCCAGAGTTATAGTTGCATCAGCAATCACCCGAGCAATTGTGCCAGCTTCTGTGGATAAGAGACCCCCGTTGTAGGTTCCCCGAGAAAGCCTTGATGACATTACTCGAGAGAGAAGAGATAAATTTACACCTGGAGTCATCAGACAAATAGTAGAGATTTTAGAATGCAAATGAAAAAAACCAACAAAATATCACACCATAACACCTTCCTAAATGTTGTTAAATGTCAAAGGGGTTAGCCATTTTTGTTTATATAACCGAGAAATCCCCGAGGATCAGGGATGCATGGTTCGAAACTTAGTGACTAATGGGTCCGCTCCTCTTCCCTTCTCTTATAAGACAGGCTTTTGTCTACGACAGGATAAGGCATTAGCAAAATATTAACAGCAACCACAAATATCTTGTCTCGGTATTGTATTAGCTAATCTAAAATGTGCTCATGTATAACCTTTTTCTTAAATCAACAGCTTCCTTGGGTTGTGAAGTAATGTATGGCTAATCTTGTCACTCATTAGGTGGAAAGAACTGTATATTTGTGTTTTGACTCATCTACACTAGTCAAAAGACAAAAATTACAAATCAAAAGTATTAACAGAACATAGTATATGTTCATGACATCACTCCATTGGGGTTAGCTAGAGATTAGGATGCAATATATCTGTCTTACTACCACGGAAGTTGTGTTATAAATGGCTGCAATACCATCCACTGCAGCAAATTTTACACGCCAAATTAGCAGATGACAAGTCCAAGCTTTACTAGTTCAACCAGGTTCTCTACCTTAATCAGAGGTTCTGTTCAACTACACTATTCTTTTATATCATCATGATAGGTTCTACTTCTATTGAGAATAAAGAACCAACTATGTTTCTCACGGAGGAAAATAAACGGAAAATAGAGATCACACCTTCTAATACTTCAGCAGATACAAACATTAGGAGGCCAGAGCAGACATATTGTGGTACTGAATACGGGATGATAACTTGAAAGCTCAGGAGTATGCCAAGACAAACCATGATTTCAGATGCCAGCAAAATTTGCCTGCAGAGAGGATGAGCTTATCACATATTCTGATCGCAAACATTCAACATGATAGAGTGCCAAACACTCAACATGATAGAATTAAGTAATCCTTCTAAAATGTCAAATGCCATCGACAAACAACATACATCGCAAGCAAAATACTGCACATCTATTGTATCTTGCGAATAGTTTCCATCATTAGCACTTATCACTTAGCAATGACGAAATTGCTATAAAAATAAGCTTCAAAAAAGATGTTATTTGTTACAAGATAGATTACCTGTCCTCAAATATGTTACTTATGTAGCTCCCAACAAGAATATTTACTGGAAGAACAGTAAGGCCCAGACATGCAAGAAAAATTGCGACAGCGCTTGTTGACCAGCTAAAGTAATATGTCGTGACAACACTAGACTCTGAAAGTAAAACCTCCATAGCGTATTTCAGCATAAAATAGATTAATAATTGAACCTGCATAAAAAGAGTCGGATGAATGGTCATTGGTTAGTATAATTCTTAATAGCACAAGCAAAAATGGTCCATCCTTTCTGTTTGTTTTTCCCTTTTGATAATCTAAAAAGTTCATGTCCTCTTCCCAATCCTTTTTCCTTCTTTAACGCCATGATCTATCTTCCCAAAGACAAAAAAATTCAAACGACAAGCAATATTAGGGAAGCAAGTGCACCGGGTCAGTGGTTGACACACTGGACCTCTTTTTTACCCATAAAACAAAAGAAATGTTACTCTCGCATGAACCTTGGAAACAAAAAGATGTTCCACATACCTTCACAGAAGGAGTCAGCAATCTATATGCTTCCTCTATGGAGTTGGCTGGACGACGGGACTCCTCTTGAGCTTCTTCACTGCCATCACCTTCTTGGTCACCTTCATTGTCTTGTTCAGCACCCACTGATTGTAATAGCAGTGGTTGCACTACACCCCTTTCAAGGGCATCATTTTCTGCTGGTATAAAAAAGATTTAATATCAAACACATTTCACGAGAACTCTTATTTTACCACTCCGTAGACAACTTGTAATTTCCGGATTCCAAATAATCTGTTGAAATTTGCTTTCAGTTACTGCACTAATGTTTTAGCATATATAATAAGTTGCTTATGTTTAAGATGAATCTACTTTTAGAATTTGAAATTTCTATTAGGTTGTTTTAGTTTGTTGAGATATTTTAGTTTTCTGATTTTGCAGATTCTGTTTTCAAATCGCTTAGTGAAAGCCCTCTTATGCTTAATAAGATTATCATCAACGGAGAGATTCAGGACAAATATAATGATGTTCGTAATCAAAACAAAATCTAAGATGAAATTGAATAAAATGGAGTACCTTGTATATAAAGTTTCTACTTACATGACCTTCTGGATTCTCCTCCTGATCAATACTTTTTCTTGTAATACCTTGTAAGGTTTATACATAATGTCTCATAATTTTGATATATAACTCTATTTAATATATTTTAATTAATTTTAGCCGAATCCCTATAGAGTATTCCTACTTGGATTTGTACTCCTAAATCTTAAAATTTAGATCATAAAGGACCTGACCTCTTAATCTGCACTTGTATCAGACACCGCTCCCAATTCTGAGAACCTTAGGTAGTACCTTGTTGAGATATTTTTGCTTTTTAATACTTTTTTAATGCAAATATTATGTAGATTATGTTTTAAAATTAGCTATTTAAAATCCTCCTACGCTTAATAAAATCATTGAGAGACATTTTCAGTCAATACTTTCAACCTTTTTGCTGCACCATCTTTCAAACCAACACAATATAACTACATTGCTCAAAATGAAGAGTGAAAAACATGTTTTTTTATCATTTTTATTGAATATGTTCAATAAATATGGAAATATATAGTTAGTAACATTTTAGTATCGAATATCAGGGAAGGAGGTTTCATTTTTATTACTCCCTTTGTCCCAATTTATGTGGCATTTTTTTCGTTTTTCAAGAGTCAAACAGTTTAAGTTTGACTAGTAATTTACGCATGGAATCTTCAATTTTATTTAAATGATATTTATATATTTATAAACTACGTAAAAAGAACTATGTCACAATAATTGATATTTCAAAATATTTTAAAGATGTATGAAAAATTTACGATCAAAGATAGACTTGTTTGAATCCCGATATCTGAAAAGTGTCGCATAAATTGAGACGGAGAGAGTATATCATAATGATATTTACTGTGTTTACCTACAACATTACAAATTTTCTTTACAGTATTACTAATTTCCTTTCATAAGGTAAAAGAGATCAGTAGTAATATTTTAAGAGGTTGTTTGTATGGGTGATGTCACATGGGTTATCAAAAGTTGATATTAACATTGAATCACTAAAAGAGTGTTTGATCCCTACAAATTGATGGATGAGTTTATAAGTCTTAGAGCATGTTTGGATTGGCTTAAAAAAAAGTAGCTTTTAAGTCAAAAATAAAAAGTCAAATCGAAATGACTTTTAAAGTCAAAAAATAAAAAGTAAGGGGAGACCTACTTTTGATTTTTGACTTATTTTAAGTCATTTTTTACCTTCCTAGCTTATTTTAAGTCATTTTTGACTTATATTAAGTTATTTTAATATACTTGTCAAACACTTCCAAAAGTCAAAAACTGACTTAGAGGTTGTTTGGATCAACTTAAAAGTTGGTCAAACCTACTTTTAAGTTAGTCTTTTTACCTCTTGAAGTTTTTGACAAATATAAAAATAATTTAAAATAAGTCAAAAATGACTTAAAATAAGTAGAAAGTGTTTTACAATGACATAAAACAAGTTTAAAATGACTTAAAATAAGTCAAAAACCAAAAGTAGGTATCGCCTACTTTTTTTTTGACTTAAAAGTCATTTAAGTTTTGATTTTTTATTTCTGACTTAAAAACTACTTTTTCAAGCCAATCCAAACATGCTCCTAAAAGTAGGTTTGACCAACTTTTAAGTCAATCCAAACAACCTCTTAATGAATTCATAATCCTCAAGGATGACCTATTTAAAGCAGTACATGTAAATACATAAATTTTGTTGGGTTAAATTCATACTGTATTTGGATTTATTTATTTTTTTTGAGAAGGTAACGATATGTTCATTTGGAGTGCACAATTAAATAAGTACATTTTATTAAATTCAAAGTTCATTCATCTTGACACCCAAATTCATGTTTGTGTCAAGTGACATGGCATACCAATCAAATTCAAGGCTAGCAAGATGATGCCACATGTTCAAATGATGTGGCAATCTCACTCAAATTCAAAAAGCAATCAAAGTCGTCAAGTGTTCAAAATGACATGTCTTGACCAATCACAAGAAACATTATCACATAGCATTTGTGATAAATTTGATGACTTACATGAACCAATCAGAACAAGACAATAAATTCATTTTCACTTATACTGCCTACAACTATAATTAGGGGTTACATAACTTTCTAGGGACATTCAGCAAACATCAACATCAACTATACAGTTCTATAAATGAGTGGTCAATGAATCTGTCCAGAGATCAACCTGAACTAATGTCCCACATTTCTGGAGATCAAACACCTTTCTAAAAGGTCCAAATCATTCTGCAATTCGAAATATATGAATGAAGGCCCTTAAATTACAGAGAAAATAATCAAGACAACAACAAAATTATACTCACGAAATTCATCAATGAAAATTATTTTATTACTATTTTATTGTAGTTAATTTTCAGCATTTGGGCACGCCCAGTGAGACCAATTCTACTCTTTATCCTATGAATCGAAACTTGCAATCTTTAGAATCAATTGTTGTATTGGCTTTAGAAAGAACAATGATTCATGTAACATCTACATTACCACATTTTTTAAACATAACTTCAATCATCCAATGACTCACAACATAGTCAAATCTAGCAACCTTGCTCTTTGAAGAAAAGCAAATCTTGTTCTACGATTATAACCTATGGGAGCAAGATCTATTTTTCTTGTTATATGAAGTCCATCAAATTGGCTCGCTCCCCTTTTCGATCAAGGATTTGCCAAACAGTTACATGGTGCCTCACCTTCCACCTTCATTGCGGCTTTGGTTGGGAGTCAATTGGCTTGGTGAGAAATTCAACATCAACTTTTTCTTACGGTGTAAGATTGTTACTCGACTTTCCAAGGTTGAAGAGATCTAACTTGCTCATAAGTTGCCCAATTTAAAGATCTTTATCTTTAATAGACTTCTTCAAGGCCTCAATGATTTGCGTCATCAAAACAAGTTCTTCGTTGACGTTAATTGCATAGTCATCAAGGCATTGACTTTTGTTGAGATAGATGAATCCATCAAATCTTTGAGGTCCTTGAAATTGTAGCAGCTTAAGAAACTACATTTGATGGGAAAAAGTGAATGTTGCCCCTAGAGGTTATAACCTTAGTACGGGAGTTTTTTTTCTCTATTGTTTTCAAAGAGACCAACTTCCCCGATCTATCCATGTCACTAGATTTGAACATGTCGTGGGTCATTGGACCATTGCAGTTACGTTCAACAAATGTGGCAACGTAAATATTGTTATATGAATCATTGTTGTTCTTTTTAAAGGCCATTACAACAAATGATTTTGAAGATTGCAAGCATAGATTCACAGGATTAAGAGCAAAATTGGTCCCACTTTGCATACCAACATTTGATTGCAACGAGTTTTTTAATACTAAAAATTAATTGCAACCAAAAATAAATAAAAGATAAAAGTTATTTTTATTGATGAATCTTGTGAGTAACCAAGTATAATTTTGTTGTTCTCTTGATTCTTCTTTCCAGAACTTCTCCCTGATTTGGGAGCCTTCAATAGTATGTTTCTTGAATTGCATGATGATTTGAACCTCTCATAAATGTGTTCAATCTCCGAAAATGTCGGACAACACTTTTTTGTTTTCAGGTCGATATCAAGGCAAAACTTCATTGACCACTACTTTGAAGAATTATGTAGTTGATGTTGATGCTTTTTCTAATGCTTGTTGAATGTCTCTAGAAAGTTATGTACGATCCTATTTAAACTTGTAGGGAGAAAGTAGCTCTGTAAATAAACTTTCTTGCCTTTGGTTCATGTAAGTCATCAAGCTTATCACAAATGTTATGTGATAAGACTGTTTATGATTGGCCAAAGACATGTCATTTTGGACACTTCGCGGCTTTAGATAGCTTCTTGAATTTGACTAGGATTGCCACATCATTTAAACATGTGGTATCATCTTAATGTTGAATTCGACTAGGATACTATGCCACTTGACGTATGGCATAAATTTGGGTCTCAATATGAAATGGTACTTGGACTTGAATTTAATAAAATAGACTTATTTAATTGTCCCTTCCAAACTAGCTACTCAACCCAAATGAACATGGATAAAATCCAAATTTTGAATGAATTTAACACAATTAAATTTACGTGTCTACATTACAAACTTGACAAATGCACCTATATGAGAGTGAATTGAGGCCGCTCTTATGAGCTTTTGGCCAAGTCTCTAGAGCTTTCACGATTAACCAAGCACGTGCACTACCTATTTGCGCAAAACCGCGTTGAACATCAAAATTATGGGGGTCAAAATGTGATTGATAAAATCTTTGACTTGTAATAAGAACTACTGGTTCATAGAAATTTTATGTATCATCAATAATATTGTGATTAAATTTTATCCATCTTAGAATCTTAGTTTGGTCCATAATCCAAAAGTCAGCAAAACCTATAGCATTTAGACCATAAAAGATCCAGCAAGTTTTACCCTTCTGTTCCTTACTCTTTTGTTCTTAAAATCATGTGAAATATGTGCGGAGTTGCTTTCAATTATAGAACAATATTTCAAAAGATTTCATTGTCTACTTAGAAGGTTGATCACACATCCCATGGTGCGTGACACGTGTCATGTTACCTGACTTACAACATGACACGCGTCACATCCTCGGGAACATCCACTTTTTCTGTAAGTTATTTATTGAAGTTGTACCAAGAAGGTATAGAGAAGATAACAGGACATACCTGTAGCTCTCACTCCAAACACACCACATTCCCCATATATTGCATTTTTGGAGTTAAGATCACAAGAACATCATAAATACAAGTTAAAAAGAAAGTTGAACATACCAGCATTAGCTTTCTGAGAAAAATTGTTTACTTCATCAGTCTCTTGAGCAGGTTCTCTAAAAGAGATCCCCAGCCATATCAGATAGAGTAACCATGCAAAAGCCATAACCCAACCAGGCAAAGTATCTTGATTGAAAGTCAACTTGTAGATCTTAAAATTAGTCTGAAGTAACCCGGCAAGTGCAGGACCACACGCCATTCCTAGTGCACTAGCACTTACAAATCCTGCTGAAGCCTGCATTCGGATTTTAAGTGGCACACAGTCACTGATGTAACGTCGGTTCACTGCTCTGGCGGAACCCAAACTGCAATTCAAGAGACAGAAAAGAACCATCTTGTCAACCCTTTTTTGAGGAAAAAAAAACCATCTGTTTAACTTATAGTCAAGTGCAAAGTGCTTTGTGGATATCACAACAACCTCCCAAAAGCATAGACAATAATGACACTGAATTATGTTATGAAGATGATAAGCAGATGATGCTACAATAATCACATTACAACAACATCCTCAGTGTAATTCCACAAGTGGGGTCTAGAGAGAGGGTAGAGTGTACGCAGACATTATCCCTACCTTGGGAGGTAGAGAAGTTGTTTCTAACAGACCTTCGGCTCAAAGATAAGCATATGAAAGAAGATCAAAAAGGAAATAAGAAAAGTGAAGAAAATCATGGCAAAACATTCTTAAAAAATAACAGTAAATGCAACAAAATAGTGTAATAATCAAAGTACAAAAGATAGTAGATAGTGACAGAAATTGAAGAACAAGAAACTATTGGAGAAATATTATGACTTCTAGTATGGAAGGATAAGCGACACAACGCTCTACTAACTACTAACCTTCTACCCTAATCCGTGTCCTCTACAACCTCTTATCTAAGTGCATGTCCTCACAAGGTGCAACTGCGTCATGTCCTATCTAATCACCTCTCCCAAATACTTTTTTATCCTACATCTACCTCTTCCAAAACCATCCATAGCCAACCCCTCACACCTCCTCGTTGGGGCATTCATGTATCTTATTTTAACATGCCCCAACCATCTCAACCTCACTTTCACATGTTGTCCTCCACCAAGACTATTCCCACAAAAATCACATTGTTTGTGAGAATTTATTGGTTTGTACAACCTTGAGTTTTTCATTCAAAATTAGTCGCAACACATGGTACCTAAAGAGATGTATTACTTTATGTAGTCCTCAATAATTGACATCTCTAGGAGTATGTTGCCATTGAAATCTTTTAGATTGTGCAAATATTTTACCAGGAGACTTCTTGGCCAATCACTTCTGTTCTCAATGAGAAATCACCCAAAAGGTAGAAGGAACTTCCCTTTGGTTCATGTTTTTGTAAGTTTCAGTGATAGTTGCTCTAGAGTCGCTTTAAAATTCTAAACTCAACACTCAATATCAGAATCTTGGAAATTTGGCTATAGTATCGAGAAGATGGAAATTTTTTACTTCGGCTGGTAAGATGTGTAAGGAGTATTACCAACAGGAGAAGCACTTAAAAACAATGAATAATGAATATTTCATCAACTACTAGCATAGAACATAAAGTTAATTATAGCCCTTTACTCTAAAAATTGCAGAATATATCAACAAGTTCGGCTAGACACGTGTGATCCTAGAAGGGAATAAAAGTAAGACTCAGTAAACTGTAATGCAAGTAGCATGCAAACTTGCACAGATGTGTTTGTAAAAAGAGGGGGTGGAGAGAGAGTTACCCACAAAATATACGACCGATAAGAAGAACCGGTATTGATTTGAGATCATAGGCCAATGCATACATAACATTCCCCACAAAAAGAACTATACTGCTAAATACCAGAGGTCTGAAGTAAGATCTGTTTGACCAGGCACTAAAATACACAGAAGAAAAGACCTGTGCAACAGCCATGGCTCCAATGACAATTCCACAAACTGTTGCAGCTGCACCAAGACTCATAGAATAGTCATCAGCTGTTGGAACAACGATATATGTATTGATCATATAAAGGAATGTATTTGCCAGGTTCAAGAGGAGTGACATAAAATGGTATCTCTGATCATCAACATGTTCCTCAACAGGAGTAGGTAACTCTTCTAGCATGATAAGTGAACGTTGGACCGAAAAATTAAGGAAGTTAGTTGAATAACTTAATCTATCAATAGCTGCTTCCATTGAGTCAACTACGGAATCCTGCAAAATGGCTTCAAACCAGCTAAGAATATAGTAGAGCATAACCAGAAATTTGAAAAACTTGCTAGCCAGAAATGATGATGTTACAAAACCTAAACAAATACCTAAAGGTTATCTAAAGGAAGAAGGCGAAAACCTGAAGTGGAAGAGCAGGCTGATCATAAATTGACAAGTAGCTTCCCTCACGGTCTTGAAGGTCTGCAAGATTACGAGATATTGCACCAACAACTGCCCCTAATCCCTGCAATTATCATTGCTGGTCAGTGACACACGACTGACACAGTCGACAGACGACTTACTTTAGGCCAAAGAGAGCTATCAAATTGTCAAGGCAATCCACATTTTCTCATTTGTGTATAACATAATTACTACTGCTACACTCTACTCTAGATTTTTTTTCTATGAATTATGTTTTAATAACTAGAAACAATATAACTGAATCAACTGTAATATTGTTTTCAATTAAAACATAATTCATAAATAAAGAATCTAGACTAAAGTGTACTAGTAGTAATTATTTTTATTGTAGCAACAGAAGCTTTATTATTAGAGGAAGACACTAAATTGAATTTAGCATATTACCACATTGTTGAAGACTTGCTGAAGTTGGGAATATGGATGATTTGCCCGGGTTTTGACATAGTAATCAGTGAATTTATAGCCAAAACGTTTGTCAAATTTCTTAAGGATCTTCCTCAATCCAATGGCATTTATTTCAACAAAAAAGAGAAGCTTTAAAAGATCACGCCCTACATTTCTATAAGCTTCTCGTAGCTCAGTTACTTTGGATATATCAGGTTGTTCTTGAAGAGAATCTTGCTGTTCATTGAGTTGAGATATCCGTCTTGCAAATACCCCTTGTTGTTCCAGCAAAAATAGAACAACTTTTTCAATCTGCAATGTTACAAAGACAAAAAAAAAGAGCTCTTATACATCAATACTACAAGCAATTAGATAAAATCAGACAAAGTCGAAGGACATCTTTTGCTCCAAGTCCCTATCCAAAATTCTACAACAACAAGATACCCAGTGAAATCCCACAAGTGGGGTTTGGGGAGGGTAGAGTGTACCCAGACCTTACCCCCTACCTCGTGGAGGTAGAGAGAGGTAGAAAGGTTGTTTCTGAAGGACGCTCGGCTCAAATGCAGCAAATCAAAGTGGTCATGAAAAGGACAAACGACAGTGAAGAAAACATAGCAACTAATAATAAAGCAGTGCAGAGTATTCAGGAATGGAACATTAACAAAATTCTACTCGAGTGAAACAACTGATGTAAAAGAAAGAAGCAAAAATTAAATGTGGCAGTAGAGATCATCAATTGAACCATGATTCAACTCCCAAATAGTAATAGTATCAAACAGTTTAGGACTAACAGGTATGCACGTAACAAATGACTACCTCCTTGTCCAGCATCCTTGAGAAATCCTTAAGTACATATCGCTGATTGAGCGCTCCATCCTGGATTTGATCAGCGTATTCCTTAACCTTCTTCTTCATTACTTTGTAATTGATATAGTATCTGAAAGTCCAAAACAATCCTTATCAATCAACATAAAAGGCCAAATCAATGCAATAAGCTCCCTCTATGTACAGGGTCCGAGGATCCATCACAAATGTAAATTAGTCCGACACTAATTCAAGATAGGAAATTAGACTCCTGCATAATCCCTACAGATGAATAAAAACTAATGCAATCTCTACTTGCCAACTATGTTACTAACACTCTTCAAAACCATCTCTATTCCGTGTTAGATCTTTCAAAAGTAGTCGATCCGACACATACATAAAACAACAATTTTGGAGAGTCTGAACAACAAAGGCGGGCGGATCCAAGCAAATAACTTTTGCACATACACTATACTTCAAATCCTAGATTCGCCTAACGTCGAGCAATATTATGTTCCAACAAGTTGAAATGAAATAAAAAAAATAAAAAAAAGATACAAAGAGTACATACCCTTGCCATTCTTGAATTTGTCTTTCCTTCAACTTCTTCCCAAAAGCAACCATTTTTCACTCTAGTTATCCCAAATCACAGCTGAGATGAATTGCAAATCACACAAATCCCAATTATCATATGATCTAGCAGAACACTATTAACACAAATAACAACTAAAATAAATTAATAGAGACGTGTTGGATTTTTGGGTGGAATTATCATGTCAAAAAAGTAGAACTAATTTACATAAAAAAAAAGGAATTATTAGTAGTCTCAACAGCTTTGTTGATAGTGACTAACAATAATGCACACATTCAATTAGATTAATCACTACATTTATAATTATTGTCACTTCAACTCTACCAAAAATTTATTCGAAAACCCTAAAATGATTTTTGACCCATATCTAGAAATTTTAAGCTGAAGAAAACACCTACCCAGATGGCAGAAATAGCAATGCATACATACATCAGTGCTAGAACTCTGATTACAGATCTGAAAACTCCACTTGTCTTCTTTTTTTTCACCTTCTAAAGTTCGATTAAATTTAAATTTAAATCGAAAAGTCTCATATTTATCTAACAAAGATAATTTTATATTCATGAATTTAAATCGAGACCTTTCGCTTAAAATATGCTCCATTTGGGGCAAAGTGCTTCCTATGGAAGGCTTTTCTATTTCATATGAATATAAGAACTGTGATTAACAGTATTGTCCTTTGTACGTGCATTTTATGTAAATCGCATTAAACAAGTCATATGCGATGAATTAATCATGATTGAATAGCAAAATCATATTATTTATTGTTTGTCTAATGTATGGAAATTACAATAATATATTATGTATTAGCTTTTATGTCTAAGCGTTTATACATTTAATGTATATAGGTCATTTTTAATAGAAAAAATTATTTGGATGAATGTCTTTTAATAAATAATTATTAATTTTAGTGATATTTTTTTATTTATTATCATTTATAGCAATACTATGTTAAATCTGTAATATGTATTTAAAAGTTAATTAAGTATGCAATATATATGTATTATAAATATTTTTAAAAATATATTATGCTTGTTTGGTAAGAAGTTGACACATTGTATTATAAGTGTATTAAAATGAGTGATAAATACATTATCCATCAATAAAACTTGTATTATATGTGAATAATAAATTGTTTTTTGTAATATGAATTAAAAATGTATCATAAATGTATCAAAAGTGATAAAATCAAAAATAATATTATTACTATAATTGATAAATATTTCTTATTTATAGTATATTTACGTAAGTTTCCCTTTTTAATATGTTTAATGTATGTAAAAATACAAATATCTATGTTTTAGCTTTTGTGTAGGTGTCTTTACGTATTTAATGTATACAAGTCATGTTGTTGTATCATTTTTATTTTTAACGTTTAATATACTATGTATGGACTCACATTAATACTCCACATTTCTCCCCCACAAAAATAACAATAAGTAGAAAGAGAGAACTATTTTTACTTTTACTAGTAGAAAGAATTAAACATGTTGAGTAGCATGAGATGGAAAAAGAACATATATCAATAAAATATGAATTGATTCTACCTTTAACGGTGTTCTGTGTTCGTATTATTTCTGTAATTTTGATAATGAAAATAAGAAATTCTAAATGAAATAAATATCAATTATATATTATTTTATTTTATTATAGATAAATCACACTAAAATATTGAGTGTCCAGGAAATTCTTTTCATTACATTAGTACTCAGGAAGGTTGGGTTGGTTATGATGATGGATGGAAAGTTTGGGCTAAAACTCAAATACTCCCTTCGTTCTAAATTTATTGTCATGTTGCGTTTTTCGAAAGTCAATTTAATTAACTTTTGAAGTTAAATTAGATCACTTTAGTTCACTATTTTAAATTAAAAAATTAGATATTTTAAAACTATATGAAAAGTACTATAAATTTACAAATTTTTTTTGCATATTAATATGATGAAAAAAATACATTTTGAAATGTTAGTCAAGTTTGACTCAAAAATAGAAACTATGACAAACAATATCTGACGAGGAGGGTATCAAATTACAGTCTATCCCTAATAAGTTTCTAATTATGTTAATTCCTTAAAGATTAAAAAATTGGATGCAATAATTGAAGTTCGAAAGCATTAAAACTAGCTCAGATACACTGAATACTAGCCCAATACATTAATGTGTAGCTCGGATACATTAAATATTCTCTGATACATTAAAAAATAGGAAATTTTGGAGATTTGTAAAATTAATAGGAGATAATGGAAATAAATGAAGCAAAAGTTTTGTATTTCTATAATTTGTCCAGATAAGTAATGTTGAAACAAGAAGTATACTTCATACGTATATATCGTACGAAGAAAATTACATAAATAAAATTTCAGATATCATAATCTTAAAAATTCCTACCATCGAAAAGAATTACAAAAATACACTTTGGATACATCCATATACCCTCTAAGATAAGATACCATTGAAAAGAATTACAAAAATACACTTTGGATACATCCATATACCCTCTAAGATAAGATCCCATCTCAAATACATTTCTCTCATCTCTCTATCAATTCTTCTCGAATACATTTCTTCCATTAAGTAATGTATCATTTACAATATATAAGACAGTCAAGGAATGTATCCGAGAGCAATAAAAAATTCAAAGAAATTCGAGATAAGATACAATTCGCCTCAAATGTACGAGATTTTGTAAGTTTCCCAACTTTTTTTAGATAGATTGAATATATTGATAACCTTTTAAAATATTTTTCAGAGATACAGTACTCCAAATATATCAAATTTTTTCTAATAATTTTTTCAATTTTCATAAAAAGGTTTACTTTTTTCTACAAATAGTATTCAATATTTGTTAAAAAATAATAACTTATCACGTATTATAATTTAAAATGAGGCCCCTTAAATTTGGAAGTCTAAGACGCTTGCCTTTTTTTTTTAACATTGTCGAGTCACCCCTGCATATGCCAATACAGTACTAGAATTTGAATGCCCCTCAAATATTTGAATCGGTACAAAATTACCCTTCATCCACCTTTCTTCCCTAAAATATCTCAGGAGTTCACCTTTTGGCTCAAAAATACCCTCGATGTTAATCCTTTGATTCATATATGTCCTCGTTTTAGTAGCTCCCTTGAAGTATTTTAGTAGCTCCCTTAAAGTAAAATTATCAAAAACTTATTTATTGTGTTGCCTTATGTGATTGGTCCATATTGAAACCCTTCTCAAATAAATAATAAAAACCAATTTATTTTTTTTATATAAAACCACATATGATTCATTTTTGACCCGATATACTTGAAAATAATATATAAAAAAATAATTGATTTCATGATATCTTCCTATTGGCCTCTTTTAAATCAACACCCAATTTGTTATAACTCAACTCATAAATGGGGATCCAACTAAAACTCATATATACTTACCCCTGACTGTTTGTCTATGTAAAAAAAATTATTATGTTTTTTAATATAAAATTTTCATCAATTATCCAAATGTCTTATTCATTTTCTCTCATAATCTCTTATTCTTAAATTAATTAGGATATCTGGAACTCAAACTTGAAATGAACTCACATGTTTATATTATTTTAAGACTTAAGACATCTATATTCATTCAAAGTTGTGTCCATAATTCACTCGAACACCTCAACTGAGGCTTATACCTATTGAACACCTGTCTTATTCAAAACATGTACGTGTTAAGTATTTTTTTATGATCTGGCATGAAAGGTGTATTACACCCTTCGAGAGGCGCGTGAAAAATAAAAAAATGGTACTAGTACAAGCCATTCACATATTGACATGTCCACATTTTAAAAGTTAAAAAGCAAAAATCTAAAAAAAATAAAATTAAAAGAAAAACTTTAGCAAGTCTTCATTCTCAAAATTCCACGCCACCCTAATCTTCCAACTTTCTTAGCCAAAAGTTTCAAAAGAGTTAAAGTTGTGGAAGGAAATTTAATCAAGAAAATAAAATCAGATTGGGGCCAAAGTGGAAAAATCCGGTGAACCTCCATTTTTTCCGGCAAGAATAGCACAAATCTGTTTTTTTTCTTCTTGAAATTGTGAAAGATATCAACCTTAAAAGAATCCACAGTATAAAAAATATGACAAATTTTAATTGATGTTTGAGGAAGAGAATAAGATAGGGAGAAATAACAGCTATGCCAGTGATTCAGTGATGAAAATTGCAAATTGAAATAAGGCAATAATACATATATTTGACTTTAAACTTGGTTTCAAACCTTCAACTTTTATAATGCACTTTAACTATCCAACTTTTTAATGAATAAACACATGAGTCCTAAATGACACAATACACGTAGGACAAAACATGACATATAGAATGACATGTGTGTTTATTTGTTCAATTTTATACAAATTTAAATGTCTATTTATGCACATCCAAAATTAAAAAGCATAAATATAATTTAAAACTAAATTTAATGACACACTTAAAATAAAAGGGAGAGAGTAGATGACATCTATGGTGGCGGGAGATTTCTGCCAGAAGGTTTTGGATTGGTGAGTGGGTTGTATAGGACTAATATTTATTTTTCTATTATTATTTTTTTTTTAAAAAATTATAATAATTTTCTTAAATAATGTTTTAAACTTGAATAACACATGTCACAATTTCATTCGTTATTGTGCCATGTAAATTGCAAGTGTAACTTACACACTTTAAATTTTTTACTGATTATTAAAAAATATCAAAAAAGATATCAATTTCGAGAGATGAAAGTGTTAAATAGATACAAGCCTCAGTTATAGTTAAAATGTTCAAGTGAATTATGAGAATAACTTTAAGTGATTGTTGATGACTCAAGCCTGCTTTTAATTTGTATTATTGTCATGATGGGATTGGGTACTGGGGATAGGATAATGATTATTTTATTCTTTTATTTTGTTTTGGGTACCACACAAATGAAGTAATTGTTTCTATACGAATGTCAATTGTTATTTTCTCCTGTTCTTCTCTCTTATTTGTCATAAATTGAAAAAAAAATTAAAATGGTGGACCAAATCTAAATATATATATTTATTGAGATAGAAGTGAGGGAGAGGGGAGCGTAGAGAGAAATGTCCAATTATTTTAAAAAATATTAATATAAAATTCAAAATCAAGTCAATCACGTGAGTTCATATATTAAGTAACTTTAAATTATTTTAACGAAAAAGAACATAAAATACACTTAAATTATGAAATTTGTTATAATATTGTTCTCCGTCCTAATTATAAATATGATCCGTTAGACATAAGATTGACATTGAAAATATTTGAGGATCTAAAGATAGATGACGAATAATTTTGTACCAATTTAAATAATTAGAGTGACATTTTAAACCCTTTTCCATATAAAAATAAAATAATATTAATTTTCTAAAGAAATAAAAAAAAATAACATAAATAAATTGCAACATATGAAATATAAATTAAACTGCAAAAAAAGGAAAGTTGACATTGTGAATGGAATATATTTTTTTGATAATGAAAGATTAAGTGTATATTGGTCGGTATTTTTGTACTACAAACTTACCAAACTAATATACCTTGATTTAGTCTAACATTAAACATTTGTCCAAAATTAAGAACAAAACAAAATAGGATTTAATTTATTTTATTTTGTCATTATATTATGTACCACGTGAACAAACTGTCCTAAATCATTGTATATATTATAGTACTTGACACAGTCAATTAAGCTTATTTGGCACCTTTAGCACACCTATCACCTTACCAACGAACAAGTCAATAACTAATTTATGTAACTGATATGTAGTCGGACAAGACTGAGTTGCTTCGATAGTAATATTTTACGATTGTATATCGAGTAAAAATATGATAACACTTGGGAAAATGTAACATAAAAAAAGTTACTTTCTTTGAATTTAATTACTGTTCACTTTTGAACTGACACGTCTATTAAGAAATCAATGATTGACATTGTGGATTTACCATTTTATCTCTATTAATGATGAAGTGGATGAATTAAAAACTTAATATTTTCAAGAAATTATACTTTTTTAAAAAGTAATTAATTAAGTATATAATAGGTAAAAAAATTGTCAGCTATAAAAGGAATTGTGAATATGTAATTAGGGAAAGATGGAGTACTACTTTTGACAGATATAAAATTAATTCAAATATATAAATTAATTCACGAGAATTTAATAATTTTACAAAAATTATATACTTTTATTAGGAGATTCACAATATAGATAATATAGAGCCTTTGATGTCATAAACTGATGGAATCTAACAACCTAACTACTAGAATATATTCCTCATGTCTTTTTGATAATATCAGTATTTTTAATAGACGTAATATATAAATGGTCTCCTAAAATAGCCTTACTATTAAAAATGTGTGGCTAAGTGAAATATCGAGATTATACATTAGAAAGTCATTCACATATATATATATATATATATATATATATATATATATATTATTATGTGTTTTTATTATATCATGCTTAAAACAACTTGCTAATGGTTTGTGAGTTTTCAATATTGCAAGTTTTGAATTTTAAGCTAGATCATAACGACTTTGTATAAGCCACACCACACGCATACCACTAAACCATCTATTATTATAGGTTCAATTAAACTACGTATGACATTGTAGCTCCGCTCCTAATTGCATGTGAGATCAAATAGTATAATTCCACAAGGACACCTCAACATCACTTTCCACATGATCATCCCAATTGAAATGACTCCCAAATAAACATGGATTTGGTGAAAACAAACTTTCCTCTTCCATATTTGCAACCCATTCCTCTATCCCACATGAGTTACTGTTATTATTTTCATCGACCATCATATTACAATCTACTACGATATTATTCTCTTGTGGTGCTACTTCCCTCACGTTCTCGAACGCCTCGACGGCTCTAGCAGCCGCTTGGCGTAACTCTTTCGGGTCCTTAGACACCGGAACTTGTAAACGCCAAGCCGAGTCCGCAAAATTCAGCTTGGCTAATTCTCCTTTAAGCGCTAATGCAGCTACGTCATGAGCACGTGCAGCCATTTCCGCGGTTAGGTACGTACCTAACCATATTCGCTTTTGTTTAGTGGGTTCGCGAATTTCGCAAACCCACTTGTCATTGTCTCTCTTTCTCACTCCTCGAAACACCGGGTGACGTGTTTCTTTGAACTTTTTCCTCCCGGCCGCTCGCTTCTTCGACTTGTTAGACGATTCTAATATAATACTTCCTTCATCTGAAGGTATCGAAGAACACGAATTACTCGAGTTATTCATTGTTATTAAAATTTCAGCTTCTGAATTTCGATTAATTGAATCTATCGAAATATTATTGGTTTGTACGTTGTATGTTGTAAATAGTAAAGTGTTTCTTATATAGATTTTGGATTATAAAGAGAGGGGAACTAAATAAGGAACACGTATCTATAGGAAATGCATGTGAAAGTAACAGGAGAGAAAATGTGGGGCCTTCTTGACTATGTCAAATAATTTTTGAAACAAGAATAAGTTACTCCGTCCTTCCATTTTTTATGATAATATGGATTTTGAAATTCAGACTAATTTAATTTTGATAATAAGTTTTTTATAAATATTTTAAATTATAAATTATCACGACTTATAATATGAGAATCGTCATATAAATTGAGAAAGAAAAAATATTATTCAAACTAATTCACTAATATTATATGTTTTTCTCTAAAATTTGATAAAACTAATATAAAAGTATTTCCCATCTGTCTGTATTATTTATATGACATTATTTAACTTAGCATGATATTTATTGGATCATTGTTATCTATTGTTTGATAATGTATTGTATTGTATGGTAGATACAATGTTTAGTTAGACTATATTTCTTTGTTGTTGTTTACTACCATTTTAATAGTTTAATTTGATTGTATTGCAATGTATTGTAATTTATAAATTTATTAAAATATCCTTAATTATTCTAGGGTATGAGATTTGACTAGAATTAAATAATATGAGGTAAATGATAAAAAATATTATGTAAATATATAATTGAAAAAATCAATTAAATAACAATAGGAATACAGTAAATCCGTTGTTCTATAAAATAGGGTTTACATTATTACGTAACAATGAAATTTAACAAGTACAATACTATACATTTTGAGTAACAATCAAAACAAACATTGTAAATATAGTAACAATACAATGTAATAGATAACAATCATCCAAATAGAATGTTAAAGAAAAAAAACTTTTGAAACACAAATTTACGATCTAAAATAATGATTGAATAATCCGTATAAAATTATTTCAGGAAAAAAATAAAATTATTTTTAATCATAATAGCACGACATTTTAAAAACAGAATTAAAAAAGGGGTCCACGTAAAATATGGGACGGGGGAGTAAATGAATTAAGAAAAAGAATGAGTCTCGTCTACCTGTCTTATCATTTGAGGAAAACAAGGTTTTATACATGTGTGTTATTCCACGTATAATATTAGTAACGATACGTTCAGATATATGTATCTCACAATAGATTTAAATATAATTTATTTGACAAAAAAAAAGGTTTGAAATATATTTGAGTTCTTATCAAAATTACTGTTACAATATTAAATTTTATTTTTTTTTATTTATACACTATTTAATATCATATTTTAGAGGTATATGTGTGTCTACGTAGACATAACAAATATTGCATAATTATAAGTAATAATGTGTTCACGTGGGTACATATATATCTTTAGATACACTATGAAATAATTCAGGGGGTAAAAGATTCTCCACAAAATTTGGCCTCATAACAATAATTTCGGTCAAAGTTTAATTGAATTTATATGTATGAGATATATAGACAAACATTGCTTGCCTTTTTCTTATCTTGCTCGACATTTTTCTATGTATCTTGCATCTCACATAAATGAAATGAGAATCATATCAGATATATACAGATACGTTTATTAAGTGTGAATTCATATATCTGTGCCACATAATTATCTCACTTTGCATTTCGCTCGCCCCTCTCGATTTTATTGTATCGTATTGTAATAATATACGTATTTAGGTGTATCATTTTATGTGACAATGTGAGGTAGAGATTTTTGGACATTAGTATTTGTAAAAGAATGGGTCTTGTTGGATAAGACGGAAACCTGTTTCAAATTTGAGGAAAGCAAGGTTTAGTACACGTTTATTTTTTTTTTATAAAAATAAAATTTGATTCATATTCGATATTTATATTAGAGTTTGATTAAATTTAAATTTACATTAAAAAGTTTTACATTAAACTTTAATGGTAAAGCTTTTCTTCACAAAAATAATTACGTATCCCCAAAATTCCCGACTTAAAATAAAAAATTACTTACCGTTTCATCATCTTAATTAATAATACACGTGTTATATTGCACATAAAAGTAATCCCTTCAGGTACAAACAATTACTCCATTTATTATTTTGTCTTTATTATTAAATATTTCATTCATTTCAATATTTTTGTTTTAAATTAATTTACGATATTAAATACAGAAAAAGACATTTTGTATTGGACAAACTAAAATAAAAAAACAAATTATGTCAATTTAATAAATAAAAAAAACGTTGTTGGGTTTTAGTGCGTGTAAAAGAATGAGTCTTGTTTCTCATTTGAGGAATAAAAGGTATAGTACACGTGTATTATTACACATATAGTAAAGTAAAATTTTAGGGACAAAAATTTACTGCTCCATGCATTTTTATTTATCCAAATTATAAAAAATAAATAATTTTTTTAGTATTTATTTTTATTTTTATGATTATATAATTTATTTATTTTAATTTAAATAACTCGCTTTGACTTTTGATAGATGTGTCTGATGTCATAATGTTCAATAATAGTTGTCCACTATTGATTTTTATATACCTTAAAAAATAATAAATCACATGATAATTATGATATATTACCTTTCAAATATATTAATTTAACGCTTTAAAAATGTATTAGATTATAGGTATTGGATAAAACTTAATAGCAAGAATTAAATAGACAAAAATGATAAATTATCTCTTGATTTTTCAAATCGAATAAATATTATATGACAATTTTTAATATAATAAACAATAAAGATGGATAAAAAGAGTGTCATGTAAATTAATGAAATTAAAAAACTTACTAAGATTGAAAGAAACACTTTTTTTAGACATATCAAAATTAAAAGTAAGACACTATAATAAAGACAGAAAGAGTACTATAATTTCTTTTTTTGGTTTCCACTCGGTATTTGAATTTTATATTAGAACTCCGATTAAATTTAAATTGCGCACTGCAGAGCCCATTCGGAAGTAATGATCTTAACAAAATTTTCTTCCTACACGAGGCTCGATTCGATTCTAATTGATTACAAACTGACCGCAGATTTTATTAATTACATGCATGTGTAGATTTTATTGTATAATATTTAATTATATGATTTAATTCTTAACAAGAACAAATCAATCCACTTAATTATATATTATACCCCACAATAAAGAAATCTTTTAATTAATAAATGACAGTGTTCAATTAATTATTTTTATGAATCATCAATGACTGATAAAATGTATATAGTTATATAAACTTTTTACGTATACTTACATATCTCTGATATATAATTATGTTATATATTATCTATAAGATTAAGAAGTATATCAAATCAAACATGAACGGATAAGATAAGAAGAGTAATTGATTTGTGGTGATATTAATATTTCATTCACGAGATGAAAAATACTCCTTTTATTTGTATACTATTTGTTGTCTTGATTATTCTTATAAACACAAAAAAAATGTGTTTAATCATTTTATTTACGCCTTTTTGGAGTACATACAAATAGTTTATCATATGACGATCCGTAGGCCTTTAGCTAATTTAAAATTGACAAATCAATTGTTTGTCTCACCTCAAGTAATTATCAATGATGACACAGTCAATGATGGGCCTTTTAAGAAAATGAAATAAAATATATGTACAACGTCACAATTGGTTATCAAAATTTAGAGGTGTGAAAGTGGACGGTTGAGTTAAATTTGAACGGATTAAAATGGTTATAAGTGTCAAATGGATGGTTTAGTTGAATTTGAACAGGTCAAAATGAATTGAAATACTAATAAATTAATAAGTTATTGACCAGCCTAAAAGTTACTTGGGTTGAACTGAGCTAATCGCTTTATTTATATTATCCTTTTAGATAAAACCACGAAAAATGACAAAAAATACACAAGTTATTTATGGAAAATGGCTACCCCCCTCCCCCCTCTTTCTCTCTGTCCAAAATGTATTCTGTATCAATTATATTCAATCAAACAAATAGAGGTGGAGAGTATTGTATTTGAAAAGCTATATTTTGAATTTTTTTTATTTGTATTCATACGAGTGCAATATGTATTCATTCTCCTGGTCACATATATTTGTATCAGTGTTTCAAATCAAATAAAGGATAAATACTGTTGTATTCATTGTGTTTCAAATACAATGGATACAAAATACAATTGATTCAAAATAAATACATAAAACAATGCAAATAAATATAAAATATAATCCTTTCTCCTCCCTCTCTCGATCTCGCTCACCTCTTTTCTCCCTCTCTCGATCTACCTCGCCCCTCTTCTCCCTCTCTTAATCTACCTCGCCCATTTCCTCTCTCTCTCAATCTCACTCGCCTCTTTTCTCCCTCTCTCGATCTCGCTCGCCCCTCTCCTTCCTCTATATATCTCGCTCGCCTCGCTTATGCACTTATTTTCAAATCAATTTGTATTTATATTTTTTTCCCAAATCCACAAAAAATACACTCTCTCCTCTCTTTCCCAAATTTCGCCCGCCTCTCTCTCCCCTCCCCCAAACGTTTTGCTATTATTCGTAATTAAACAAAGTATAACTATTGAGTCCTGTTTAAGAACTAATGTTTGCTATTTTTGAAAGTTTTCACTTTTCTAATAAATTTTAGTACCTAATAAATCATTAATTTTTCTTATATTATCATTGTATATATATATATATATATATATATAACATATCAAATAAATATTATTTTTTTTAACAAGCCTAAATCATCAATTTGTCAAAATAATAAACTCCAACAAACTCGCATTTTAAACTTTTGATTTTTCATGTTGTCTACACTCATTCATATTTAACTGAAATACATATTTAAATGACTGAAATTTCAAGTGTATGTGTCGTCTGAACTCTGAACGCATAATTAAAAAAAAAGAAAAAAAGAAACAACATATAACATATATTAGTTATATTGGACCAACCAAAATAGGGCACCCCGTGAATTTTTTACTTTTTCTAAATAACTTATGCCTCACTAAACATACGTTCAATTGTTAACGGACAAAAATTAAAGATCATAATTTCTAACTGTTGCCTAGAGACATAAAACATAATTGTGCCTCTCTAAGTAACAGGCTTGTTCATATGAATGGACCAAATGAACTCCAACAGCTACACTAACTACTCTACATCTATCAAAATTGATGATTTCTACAAATCAAAAAATAATAATAAATAGAGTAATA